GTGGCGAGTGCACATGTCCTATAGGGAAAAAAAAAAAAAAAACTCTAAAAAAAAAAAAAAGAAAAAGAAAAAACACACTGGGTGTGTTTATGTGTGGGCCCAATATCTCAAGGGGAAAATGGAGGAGAAGCGATTGCAATGTGGCCATCCCCCTGGGTCTCTCTCTCTCTTTCTTGCAAGCACATAGCAAAAAAAAGAAAAAAAAAATTCAAGAATTGATGGAAAAAAAGACCTGTGCCTGAATATATCCTGAACATCTGAACATCTAGAATAACGGGAAGTATCATGCAAATGACTAGACAGAAAATAATCGCTTACTCTAAAAGGAAAAGCAATCCAGCCAGCTTCAGTCTTGATTGACCGGCTCCAAAGGGAGTGAAATGTACTCTTCTGAAGAGGAAATGCCGTGATCTAAGCCTACTGTTCCATGCCAAGTTGAACTCATGAGTACAGGCAATGAAAAGATATTTCTAGATATTTAAAAATCAGAAGTAGTTTCACTCATATGGTCATCCTTCAATTTTTTTTTCAAAAGACTGACTGCACAGGTGGAGCAGATGGTATTGCAGCACTAACACAATGCTCTGTGAAGCTTCCCCAATGAGTAAGTTCTAGGTTCTTGTCCCAAGACCTCCCAAAGACACGTGGGACTAGCTGAAGCTATTATAGAAGTGGTGATGGCACTATTGGAAAACCCTACTGGAAGTGCCTATCTCTCTGTCTCTATCTCTCTCACTCATGAAAGAGATAGTAAATAATTTTTTTTAAAAAAGGCATACTCAATAGGACACTAAAAGAAGTAAATAAAAATTAACAACTCAAAAAAAATTAACAACTCGAAAATAAGGAAGTCAAAATATAAAACAATCGATGGTCTATATGAAGCCAGCATGTGTGTGTTTGTGTGTGTGTGTGTGTGTGTGTGTGTGTGTGTTTAATAGTTACACAATTAAATACAAAAGCTAAAAATGTGGGGGTTTTTTGGGAAACAATTACTTTTTTTTGAAACTTGACCAACTGGTAATATAATAGGTAGCATTTATACAATATTATATTTTTTTAATAGTAGGCTGAAAGAAGTTTTTAAAAATGTCAAATTTCTTAACTTTAATGGCAAGAGAGTCCTGACTTTGATAATTAGCGAAACATAGGTTAAAGTAAATTGGAAGCCGACATGAATACTGAACACAGGGTGCTTGCTCTCCAAATTACTGCAGAAGACAAAGCAAATAGGATAAGAAGTGGCCAGGCATTTATGCAATCACAGGGAGAGCAAAGACCAACCCAGAAAGCACATCCCTAACAGACTGGAAGACGCTGGACGCTGTTCCTTCCCTGAGCCCATGCCACGGCAGCCAGAGCTATTTAAATAGAGTTCCCACTGCCAGTTACTTGTCAAGTTTCCCCAGGATTGCTTCCCAAAATCTGCTTCCCATTAATTGTGATATCTCTTTGTCTCCAATTTGGCTCAGTAAAAGACTCCTTTCCCTGGCCCAGGAAGATTGAGGCTTTGATCTTGCACTGAATTGATCTGATAAATCCTTGAAAACAACATTTCCATTACAAGATGATCCCTTAACTCAGTCTACAATAAGCCATAGAGAGGCAGCTTCTGATACATTTCCATCCTAGAGAGCCATAAATCCTCTCAGCTCTCACCTCTGGAAGGTGGGGGATTAGATTTAAAATGGGGTATAATATGAAATGAAAGAGTTTTCAATCTTGTTAGGAAAAGCATAGATTCTTAGATTAAATTAGAAACAAATCTAATTATATGCATTTTGTGTAGGAACAAATCTAATTATGTTTATTGATATATAATTATATACAGCAGAAAAGTGATTTTTAAAAAGTTTCTATTTAAGTTCATTTCTTCCTTTCTTCTATGAGCAAGAAAGAGAGACAAGCACCCCTAACAGGGTCCTCATACAGCAATCCTCCCCCAGCCTTAGCTGACCAGGATCACAGGCATGCAGGTGTAGGCCCAGCATGGCCTGAGAGGCCTTGGGATACAAACCTGGGGCCTTCCATGTGGCTTCCACATCATGCAGTGCTGTGTCACTGCTGCACCCCTGAGGCTGGCTAGAGATTTTAAAAAGACTAGTAAATATATGCTGGGCAATAGCAAGATCTTTTCAGATATATTTCAGAGGTTGTTGTATTGGTTAGCTCAGCCTGCACACCAAAATAGCACTAGCCAGGCGCCTTACAGCAATCTGTTTTCCTATAGTTCTGGTACTGGAAGTCCAAGATCAAGGTGCCAGCAGGTTGATTTCTTCTGAGGCTTGTCCCCTTGGCTTGCAGACAGCCACTTATTTGCTGCTTTTATGACGGCCCCTCTGTGCTTTTGTATCCTTGATGTTACCTTCTTATGAGGAAGGACCGCAGTCATACTGGATTAGGGCCTCACCCTAATGGCCTTATTTTAAAGACCTCATCTTAAATACAGTTGTATCTAGAGGTATGAGGAGTTGGAACATCAATGTCTAAATTTAAGAGGACACAGTTTAGCCCTTTAAATAGCTTGCAGTGTTAACTTAAAAAACAAATGCTGGGAAGTGCATGCATTTGCCAGAGAAATAATGCGGAGAGAGAGAGAGAGAGAGAGAGAGAGAGAAGCAGGAAGCACTTCATCAAGTGGATGGTCATGCCACGATCCCCTCTCCTCCTCTCTTTTTGAGATTTTGGGCACACTCATGCACTCAGCATGTTGGCATGTTTTTGAAGCCACTGAGGTCTAGAACTCGAACTGTGAAGTTAGCCACATGGGATCTGTCTTCCTCAACCACTACACCACCAGCTGTCCCACAATGTTAATCTGAATAAAACAAAAGAAAAGAAGAATTCAAAAACATTCAAACCAAAATGATGACACCACAACCATGAGCCTGTACGTGCCAAATGTCACATCACCTCTAGTGCTCAGCTTCCATGCTGGCCCCACGATTCGCCACCTGCTATTACGCATCCCCTTGGGAGTGCTCACCCACACTGGACTCAAGTTGGTCTGTGTGACATGCAAAGCAGCAGTAGCAGGTCACTCCAAAAATGAGATTATAAAAAGCAAATGGCGTCCATCTTGGTCACTGTACTGTACATGCTCTGGGTCTCCCTTTCTTTGTTCCTGTCTCTCTTTCGGATCACTCACTCTGTGCAAAGCACATCATAAACATGCC